CTTTTGTGCATAGAGTTGCTGCGAATCAGACGGACTTGACTCTCAACAACTGCCATCAAGTTACTTTTGACACACAGCGGCCCTCGAGAGGATGTCCAAGGCCGTGAATCGTTACAGAGGCGGACTGCCTCATCTTTCTCCAGAAGAGCCACGGGTGGCTTTGAACCACCAACCTTGTGGTTAGCAGTTCAGCTTACCCAGCAGCACCACCATTCCTGAACCTTGGAACTGGATAGCATCCTAGGATTCCATCTTTATGAAATATTGTGATACATTGTTCATCACCATGGCTTGCTTTTAAAAAGAATATTGCATTAAACCCCCTACCTCATGACTCCTATGATGCTGCGTTCTAGTCTCAGACCTGGATGACACCGCCAATTCTCGTCTAGGGTCCACTCCGGGTAGCTTTGACATCAGTGTTTCCCAGCATGGGAGGAACTGGCCCTTGGGGACACTGGACACACCCAGAGAGCTGCAGAGCAGATGCCTACACTTCACCCTGGATGATGGGCTACAGGACAGGGGTTGTTAACTGCCAGGGGGGCATGGAGTAAGTTTTTTTCTGAAAAGGAGCCAAGAAGCCAAATAAACCTGGAAACCTGTGCTCTTGATTCTAGGATTTCAGAGGCAAAGGGAGGCCTGACATAAAACATGGGAGTCCTGGTGGTGTAGTCATTACACGTTGGGCTTTGGTCTGCCAAGTCAGCGGTTCGAAACCACCAGCTGCTCCTTGGAGAAAGACAGGGCTTCCTACTCCCGTAAAGAGTTACAGTCTCATAAATTCGCAGGTCCACCCTGTCCTTACAGGGTCTCTATGGGTCCGCATAGACTTGATGGCAGTTGAGTTTGTTTGGTTTTGGTACATTAAAAACTCAGAGGAGCCCGTGAGAGCCAATCAGTGAACCAACAGAACCCTGGGATTGAGGGTGGGGGTCAGGAGAAGAAAGGGGAAGTTGCTCTCTCAGGCTTCCTGTTCAGAAATGCAAGCCCTTATTTCTGATGGATTGACAGTGGGGTCGAACGATGACCTCCAGCACGGAAACCATTGTGAGGATGGCGCAGGACAAGTAGAGTCTCCTTCTGTTGATCCCAGGTTCGCTGTAAGTTGGAAGACACCTGAAGACACCTAACCACAACCTTGTCATAGAACATGGTGCTAGGAGAGAGTCCCCCAAGGGCCCCAGATCACCCCGTCCCCCGGAGAGAACTCTCCGTCATTCCATATTCCTGGTCTCTTCGGAGACGCTTCCACGGCCACTGGCCAGAGAGTAAGACTCAGAGCTGTTGGACTCCTTCCACCGGGGCTAAATCCGGGAGGGATTGCTTCAATATTGCCATCAAGTCACCTCCTGGCTTCCCCTTCCCAGGAGAGGTCATCACATGCATGCCCTTTCGATACCACTCTAATCCTTTCATCCAGCCATGACAGTGAGAATTGCTCTAGGAACCCAGAGCCAAAAACACTTCCCTAAAAGAAAAATGTGACCAGGAAGAATGAAATTTTAAAAAACCAAAAAAGACCAGAGAGTACATGTCCTTCCATGTCCCTGTCTCTGCCCTCCTAATCATCAGTTTTCATGAGAATTGGTGTCTGGAGCTCTGAGGGACCCAAGCTTGTTTGAAGAGATAGATTTCTGCACGATGCAGTCACGTGATTGATTAAATTACAACTTTCCTCTAGTTCCTAAATGTTTCCTCCCCGCTCCCACTATCATGACACGAATTCTACCTTGCAAGTCTGGCTAGACCAGAGGATGTACACTGGTACAGATAGGAACTGGAAATACAGGGAATACAGGGCGGATGATCTCTGTAGGACCAGTGGTGTGCATGGTGATACAGGGAGGGTAGAGGGAGAGTGGGTAGGAAAGAGCAAACCGATCACAAGGAACTATATGTGACCTCCTCCCTGGGGGACGGACAACCGAAAAGTGGGTGAAGGGAGACGTCGGGCAGGGCAAGATATGACAAAATAACAATTTATAAATTATCAAGGGCTCATGAGGGAAGGGAGAGCGGGGAGGGAGGGGAAAAATGAGGACCTGATGCCGGGGCCTTAAGTGGAGAGGAAATGTTTTGAGAATGATGAGGGCAATGAATGTACAAATGCGCTTTACACAATTGATGTGTTGTGCATTGTGATAAGAGTTGTATGAGCCCCTAATAAAATGATTAAAAAAAAATTCGAGAGCAATTCATTTGCCGGCCAACCTATCTGCCAGTCCTGGTATATTTTAAATAATTAATGGTGCTTTGGGTTAAGTATTGGGTTGCTAATCACAAGGTTGGCAGTTTGCACCCACTAGCTGCTCCCAAGGAGAAAGATGAGGCCGTCTATTCCCGTAAAGGTGTGCAGCCTCAGAAACCCACAGAGGAAGTTCTGTGGTTGTTTTCAGGTGCCATCGAGTCAGTGCCAACCCAGGGACCCTGTGTACAACACAACTAAACCCCACCCAGTGCTGTGCCCACCTCCCAGGTCTTATGTGAGCCCATGGTGCAGCCACGGGGTCAATCCATCTGGTCCATGGTCTTCCTCTTTATGCCTGCCCCTCAACTTTACATGCATGATGCCTTCTCCAGGGACAGGTCTCTCCTGAGACATAGCCTGACAAAGTACAGTGAGACAAAGTCTCGTCTTCTTTGCCTCTAAGGACCCCTAATGGGCAGTTCTATTCTAGTCTATGGGGTTGCCATGAGTTAGGATCGACTGACGACAGTGAGTATGGGTTTTATACACACAGCGCTTGTCAGTTTTGTGTCTGGGCTGTAGACTTATTCCTAGACATTTTGTATATCTACAAGGGGGCTTCAGAGAGTGATCTTTCCATCGAATTTTCCACCCACTTTTTGAAATCCCCACCGCCCACCCCCCCTATACAGGATCTAGCTGCGAGGAGGTGACCCGATTCCCGGGAGGGAACTGCTTCCAGGTTCTGACACTGTGACACCTCCCAGGATCCATGGATGGAGAAGCAAATTTTGTAAAATCATGAAAGCCAAGGCCAGGGACTCTTGGCTTCGGTAACTCTCGTGGAGAATGGTTATATAAGGATGAAAAGTTACACCAATATCAATCGCTGCACACATTTCAAATTTAGATTATAAACATAAATATGAACACTGTCTGCTTTTATGCTTGATACGGGGCCAAAGTTTCCAGCTATTCTCTATAAGCAACATTAATATTTTGATCTATGTTTCAGAACTCTTTTGCCAAAGATAATTTTCAAAGAAAATGAATTATCAAGTGCCGTGAAAGGGAAGAATTTACAACAAGAGCTGGAGAGAGATGTGGTTGCTCTGGCTCAGGAAAAAGGGTGGGGATGGGGGTGGGGTGAGGAGACTTCATGGATTGTTTAAAAAAAATACAGACTAGCTGCAGGGCAGAGAACAGTGCATGCATGGAAAAGCGGAATGAGGAGGTGTGGGAATTCTACCAGAGTTCAGCTAAAGCAGGATGATTCTTTTGCTATCATCCTGCAAAAATTTGGAATAAAAAAGAAATAAAAAACTGCACTTACCTAATGGTCTGATTATGGTTGCTTTTCAAATCCTGCCCCAGGCTGGTGGTTACTACAATCTAAGTTGGGAGAGAAATACAGAGGTCAGCATGGCTGGTTCAGCACACATCGTAAATACAGTCCCTGACATCAATGATGCAGCCAACGTATTGGGGCAAGCCTTGTGCCTGATGGGTTTGTGCAACAGTCGAGTAAACCAAGATGAGTTTATCCACTCTAAGCAAACTCACTGCCATCAAGTTGATTCTGACTCACAGTGACCCTGCAGGACAGGGTAGGACTGTCCCTGCGGGTCTCCGAGACTGTAACTCTTTACTGGTGTCGACAGCCTCCTCTTTCTCTCACGGAGCGGCTGGTGGTTTCCAACTGTTGACCTTGTGGTTAGCCGCCCAGCATACAATCACTACTCCAAAATGGCTGCTACGAGTTGACTAGCCCTGCGTCTACTTTACAATTTGAGAAACGGAACGTCCCAGATGACTTGATGTGCTTAAAAGGAAACAATACCAGCAAAGTCCTTTTCCCCAGCGGCTTTCCAAATCCCAGGTTTCATGCGACGTCTTTCATGTCCTTAAAAGCTATTGCATAGAAAGACAAGAGACGTGCGTACGATACTACAAGCAGTTTTGCAGTGTTTACTCTGATTCCATGAGTGCCTTAGGGGGCACAGAACAACACTGATGTGTGTTTGTCATGCACTCCTGCTCCCAGCTCCCTCTCCTAGATCCCTAAGCACCCAAAATTGTTGCTCCAATTTAGATCACGACAATGCTGCAGCAGTCAATGTTGTTAGCTGTCTCATGCGTGCGTTGTTCTCATTTCTCGGACTCTCGCATGGATCTGAGGGTTGTTTATTCGCCCAGGGCTGGCACACCATCAGCGCTGGAAAAAACCCAACTCGACTCCCTGAAGGACTGGAAGGTGGCCACTACCATGACCAAACCCTTTGATCAACGATTCTACAGAGAAATCCTGATCATCAAGGGGGGAATGTAGAGCAGAATTTCAGCTTCTCAGCGAACCTAGACTTTCTGGACCCATCAGGATGAAATGAACCCCTAAAACTACCACCCCAATATCTTCTTTAAATATTAAACCTGAAAGACCCCCCAAATCTCTTTTAAACCAGACAACAGGTTAACTTAATTAGCACAAGAATGTCTGCCTTGAGCATTGTGCTCTATGGAGATCTGTATGGATATGGGATCAAAATGGAGCCAGCAACCAGAACGATTAGATAGAAAACTTAGGGAGTGGCGAGCTTGTGTTAATGGGGGTGGGGATCAGTTTGGAAAGGGGGGTGATAAAGGCTGCACAATCTGAAAGATGTAATCGACGTTACTGACCTACCTGTACATGCAAAAGTGGTTGACATGGTGTACATTCTCAACCGTGACAGCAACAACCACAAAATGTACGTAAGAAAACAACAACTCCGCCATTACAACCCATCACCTCAGTGAACACGATTACTCGAAGCAGCTGTTTCTCTAAAGCAACCATTTATTTTAACACCTGCGGTGGTTACACAAGGTCATATCAATTTGATAAAAGAATGAAGGGGTGGAGTCTAGCCTGTCAATCAGGTCACAGCCTGGTGATCCCTCCTTGTGGGCATGGCCTTCTCATGAGGATTCTGGGAACTTCCTCTCTTCCTCCCTGGAGGCGGGATGAACGTTCTCTGCTTGACATTGCTGTGGACAAGCCACATGGAGCCATGCTGATGGCAGCCAGAGCCCTGGAGATGTGTCCACCGCCATTGGATCTGCAGGACTCTCCACCCACCCGCCTGGGATCTTCCTGCATTCAGCATCATCCTATGTGCTGCGTGAGTCTGAAGAGGAATTCATGGGCTAATATTGGGCTTACGGGCTAATATCAACTTCTGGACTTGATCTGGACTGGGGTGGGATGTTTTATTGATGCAAAATTACTTCTTGATATAAAGTGCTGTCTTTATAAAGTGCTGAGTGTCTCTGGATTTGTTTCTCTAGTCAACCCAGACTAACACAACTTCCTTGCCAATTTAGTCCAAGCAGGGAGTACTGTGGCCCCACCACAGAGACAGACTTTGTGTGGACAAGCCGTGCATACTCCTTTTGTATCTGCTGGTCTACAGAGCCCTGGTGGCACCGTGGGTAGGCACTGAGCTGCTAACCCTAGGTCAGCAGTTCAAAGCCACCAGCCTTCCTGAGGGAGAAAGGTGAGGCTTTCTACTCTCATAGAATTACAGTTCTCAGCACCTCACCGGGACAGTTCTCCAGGTCCTATACAGTCACTGTGAGTCAGCATGGACTTGATGGTAGTCAGATAGGATTTGGGGTTGGGTTCTGACACACGGAGGTCCAGGGGCGTGGGGGGGGGTTTGAGAGAAAAATGGTTCTTGAAATGGACATTTAAGTGGACAAAGGCTTACTTAAAAAAACAAAGGAAAGTGTCTACTCTTCTTCCTTCCCCTCCCAGTTGGTCTCCTAATTCTTCTCTCTTGCTTTACCCCACCCCGAATTCTGCCTCCCACGAACCTCTTCCATCTCAAGGACACTGTGATTGGATTCTGCTGCTCAAAAACCTTCCATGATGCCCTTGCAAGGTAAAGTCCAGAGTCCCTGAGAGTTCAGACTCTTGACTTCTATCCCAGAGAGTGTTCCCTTTCTTTGTCTTCGTCTGGTTTTCTGAGGGGCCGCGAGTGGCACAAGAGTTAAGTACTGGGCTGCTAGCAGAAAGGTTGGTGGTTCGAACACACCAGCCATCTGCTCCTGTACGGAAGACAGCCCAGGAGCACTCAGTAAGAGAGACGCAGTTCTGCTCTGCCCGGAAGGGGCGCACACAACATCATTGCCCGCTCTTTAGAAATCTCTACTCCCATCAAACCAGCTTACCTGCTCACCCCCATGGGGGTGCTAGAAGGCTCTGCCCCTCCCTCTCCATCTAAATTCTGCCTATCCGTAGGAACCGTCTTTCAGGAACCTTCACTGAGCGCCCAGCATGAAGTGCTGTCTCCTTTCTATGAATCAATATGAATCATTTGGTAATTATGTTTCCTCACGACAGCCCTCCACCTGCTTAATGCGATTTCCATAAATTGTCCACAAGCTCCTTGAGCCCAGAGCCTTCCAGACAGCAGATGCAAACAAAAACCCAGGCGTTTGCTCGGAGGACCTGAGACCTATCAAGGTGACACCGCCCTGGGGTGACTTTCTCCTTAGGACAGAGCAGAGGAGAACGCTGCGGGGACCTCATGCAGAAGGGATGCAGAAATGGGGACCGGGAAAAAAAAATTAAAAAAAGAAAAAGAAAAGAAATGGGGACCGGGAACCAGGGCCACATCGCCACATCTGTTTCAAGGAAACAGGCAAACATCTCAAAACAAAAACCCAGCGAGCACTTTGCAGACGCCTCAGGAAGGACTGCCATCTGAGGGGGAAATCCAGGGCTGCCCTGACTTCTTTGGCCTCTGGGAAAAGGAGATGTGATGACCCATAATGCCCAAGGAAGGTGGTGTGCTCTCTGACCCACGACATGAACAAAAGATCTCTTCCAGTTGTGTTACAAGATAAGAAAGAAACAAACAAAAAAAACACAACACATCACACGTCACTCAGGAAAGCTGGCAGGAAAACAAAAGAGCCGGGGCAAGGTACAGGAGCAAAGGACCACGTGGGTCAAGGAATAGAAGTGCCCCCAATGACAGCAGCAGATCTGCCATACCGCACAGTAACTGTGACATTACCACATAACTGGTAATAGTTATGTGGACACAGCCTCGCCATTCCACCAGCACAGTTGATGATTTCTGCAGCCTAGGATTGATCTGGGGAGTCCAAGCAAACATAAGTCATTGCTTCTTGTGCCAAAAACACTGGAACCATTTCTTGGATGAACTAACCAATTCATTTCCTTTAAAAAATGGTTAAATTAAAAAAAAAATCCATTGTAGATCTGAAAACACTAACTGAACATCGCCAATCCTGTTTGAGCATTCGTCTCCACGAAGCCCTGCTCCCTGGGGAAAGCAAGACGGAGCTCAGGTAACTGGCTCTAGAGCTGGTTTTAGGATGTGCTCACTCACGACATACTCCAGAGAAGCACTTTACAATAACAAAACGGGATGAGTGGGGATGGCTTCAACCTCCATCGACAACAAGTTTGACTTCGAAAGCCTTTCGTCGTCCATAGTCGACCATGGACCATCTAGCTGCCTATGCAGACTTGTCACTGTTGAATGTCACCACAGTGCCGTTGCTGTTGCTGTTCACGGTCACCCCATCTGAGTCGGCCCTCAGCTCCTGGGGACCCCACTCACCAGGGAACAAGATGCTCCCCAGCGCTGCACCATCCCCAGGATCCACTGCAGACTGGACTCTTTTGATACACGGACTGACTTTCAGACACAGAACTCCAGGTCTTTCTTCCTACTCCATCTGACTCTGGAGACTCATCTTTCTCACCCACACCTGCAATGACCGATGGGGGGTGGCTGCATGCAAGGGACCCTGGTGGGGCATCGAATCTGAGTCTCCCGGATGGAAGGTGAGATTGTCCCACGGAGCCACCACCACTGCCCTAACTGCACAGCAGTGTGGAACGCTAAGCGACCATGATGCTGAGACAATGAACAGTGGCGCCTGTGAACAGATACCTGGCCTCCGTTAAAAGAGAGATCCAGGCGAAACCACTCCTTCAAAGGCAGGATGAACTTCGTCTTCACAGCCAGGTCTTCTCCTTTGACAAGATGCATTTGAATATGCAAGTGGCCTAAAAGGAAAATTAAAGCGCATGACAATGGCAAAATAATAATAGTACGTAGGGTGAATGAGGAGGTTCTCACTGCCATCGAGTCGATGCTGACTCACAGCGACCCCAGAGGACAGAGCAGAATTGCCCCCTGTGAGTTGCCGGGACTGTAGCTCTTTATGGGAGTAGAACGCCTCGTCTTTCTCCCGAATGAAGAGGTTAAACCCTCTCAAAAATGACCCCGAGAAGCTACCAGACTAGGTCATATGCGGTCTTCTTTTAAGCAGAACAAAACCCCCAGAAATGTATTCCTTTGCAAATCAGACACTGCTCGCGCTGACGCTGGGGCCCAAATTCGAAACCCAGCCCTCTCCCTGACTTGTCACATTGACACATGGCTCCCTTCTTCTAGACAGAAGAATCTGCCACTCAACAGGACGGCGGGAAACACCAGGATTCCGTTCGCTACTTACCCTCTTCGGTGAGAAACACAGAAGGTGTGCCGTACATCTCATTCGAATCAACAAAGTACAGAATCCCACAGAGATGGGCTTTGCAATAATGGAGCAAATAAAGCCACACGGAAACAGTGAACCTGCAAAAATGAGAGAGAAGACGGGGAAAACCACCTTCAGACTGATATCATCCAAGACCAGGTCATGACCGTTAACAACGACCGAGTGGAGTGCTTTCTTTCCAAAGAAGTAACGGTTTTGCCTTTGCGTTCATCGTGGGGAGATCAGCAGGCAGAGCTTGATTTTTGAAACAAAGGAGGTTAGCAGGGACCGACAGCACCCAAGTGGTCCTGCGTACAACTAGCCGGCCTTCCACCCCATGCCCCAAACTCTCTTGCCTGCATCTCTCTGAGACGCTCACGTGCCTGCTGTCTGACTTCTTGATTAAGGCTCAGAAAGCCAGGCGTCGCATGAGAATGTGGATTTTAATAAGAGGTGAGTTGATGAGAAGCTACTCTACTTTCGATGATTAAAAGGAAAAAATGAGAAAAAAAAAACATAATTAGGGCTTTTCAAGCAATTTGGTTTCTTTCAAAGATAAAAGCCTGAAGGTAGAAAGATGTCGGCATCTACGAAGTGGGGCGCCCACATGATCATGGGGACACACAGGCGTCTCTGGGCAGTCCTCATGCCAATCCCCCTGTCCCCTTCCACTGCCCAACTCTGGCTGGCCAATAGGGGGCGCATGATGGAATTACAGTATTGCATTCCCACCCGGGGGGCTGAGTGGGAGAGAGGGAAGAAAGACGTGTCTGCTGTGGCGTGTGGAGTGAGGATGAAATCGCAGGGGCCACCTTCAGTCGGGTGGCTGGGAGTCAGAGGGACTCCTGGCACCTAACATGAACAACAGCACACGTAAGTAGGAAACATTTAGACGGGTGGTGTGGTCCATCCGCTGCTCATCTGATCTCATCTGATCACTCAGCGAAGACTTGCTACACACCCGCTCGGTGGCCCAAAGTACTAACAACCCAAAGAGTGGGTAGCAGGGGTTGTTCCTTGCAGTTGACCCCATTCCGGCTATGACGTGAGATTTCACATCAATTCAAGGTATCTGAGGGAAGGTACTGGTGGAGGCCAACCTATCAACCGGGGGCAGTCTGGTAATACTTCCTGAGGAGTGTGTCTTTTGTATAAGAGAGACCCTAAGCAGAACTGTGCTCTCTCTTGCCCATTTGCCATCTGTTCCGCCAACTTCCTGTTATAGTGCCTACCAATCCCAGGAGCATCAGGGGACCACTGACCTCGGATTCATTAAGCTTGGCATCCACCAGCCTGTAGCTCTCCTATGCCATCTTCCTGCTTCCTGTTCATCAGTTCCTGCAGCCACACAAGTCAGGAAAAGCCTCCAGCTTACAGGTGACCCATGGACTTGAACTGGACCGGACTTACCTATTTCTACAACCGTGTTAAGTCATTTCTTGATCTAAATCTCTTTCTGTATGCAACACCCATACACACTCACTGGTTTCGATGCTCCAGAGCACCCAACCTCACCCCCTGCCCATGGGGCCATCGTGTGTCAGTGAGCAGAACACAGTTCCGTCACCTTGGTTGTCATCTTCACGAAAGGCGCCTAGTCTTTGCTTCCAAAGTCATTCTGGCTGGGTTTGAACCCCCAACCTCGAGGGCTGCGAGTTGTTGCGGCAACGTGGGGTCCAGTCAATTTCTCTGTTGCACAGGGATCTTGGCTCAAGCCGATCACCAGTTACTTTCCCCCATCGACTGAGCTGGTGGGTTTGAAGCACCAACTTTTGGGGTTGGCAGCTGAGCACTTAACCACTCTGCCCACCAGGCTTCTGAGTTGAAATCAACTCGATGAGACAGCGGGTGTTTGGGTTTAGAAACCTTTCCAAAGATGAGGCGCTGGAAGGAATTGTATTTTGCACCTTCACCAGGACTCAAGGTCAAAATCGGTCCTGCAGTCTCTCTCCATCTACCCCAGCACCCCACGCACAGACCACGTTGAAGGAGCAGTGGCCCGGCATTCTTTGGGGCTCCACCCAGACAAATCCTTTGCCATCGTCTGGCTTTTTAATCTGGCCACAGTCTAAGCAGATGGCGTCACATGGCTCCCTCCTACCCCACCCCCCACCCCCCCGGCTGAGCCAGCTCATGAAGATAAGTTATTGCAAGGAAGCTTCGCAAGAACATACGCTCAGCATCGAGACTCGAGAGCTGCCCTCAGCCAGCAGCCTGGGAAGAATTAAATCACTCTGCTTAAAGCCATCCAGTCTGAGGTGAGCCAGGAACCCTCTTCGGCATCTCAACTCAGCAAGAACACCCCCAAAATAAAAAAAGGATAGTGTTTGCTGACCTCCATGGAAGAGACCCAAAGTCAGGAGAGCTGAAGCGCTGAGTCGGCCTGGGGGTTTGTGGGTGTGCAGTTAGCACGCCCAGCTGCCAACTGTGAGGTTGGAGGTTCTAATCTACCCAGGGGTGCCTGAGAAAAAAGGCATGGTGATCTACTTCCAAGAAATGAAAATTGTTTTAAGAAATCAGCCGTTGAAAAAGCACTAGGGAAAACGCAAAGAAAAAAACACTACAGACGCAAACTTCCATTCTGATACACAGAGTCGCCGCGCACTGGGATCATCCCATTGGTAACTGGTGGTGTTCGGTTGGTTTGGTTTGGTCCTCCAGGTCAGAGTAGGTGGGCAGAGCAAATTCTGGAAGCTTTGGCTGGTGAGCCCCAAACCTTGCAGGGTGTTACTTAGGGTTCAACCCCTTAGTCCCCAGCTCAGGGTGAATGTAAAAAGTGCAGGGTAAAGTCAGGCACTCTCTGGCTGGTAGTCATGTCACACCTACATAATAAAGTTATTTTCAGAAAGAAAAAACAAAGGCCCAGGGCAAAGGGAAAATTGCTAAATGGGAGAATCATTTGGGGCTGAAAAGGTTTGTTTACCAACGCTGAGCTATACTGTCCTCAACATTTTCATGGCTTGGGTCCAATTTCCTCAAACCTCTCCCTCCCAGCTCCAGGTCCTCAGATAAGATGCCACCCCACCCCCACCCCGCCCACCACCAGGCTGCACCCTTCAGGCCCCGCCCTCCAGCCCTCCGGGCTCCCCTCTCCTTACATTGGGTAATCCACACGCTGGCGACGGGTGGCCTCCAGCTCCCGGTTGCGAAACTTTGAGAACTTCTTCACGATGCCCGTGTTCTCCCCACTGGAGGCGTAAGGAAAGCCAAGCAGGGTGACCAGATCTGCAAGCGCAAACAGTGGACTTCAAACATCCCCAGAACTGCAGTGCTTCCGAGGTCACTTCCTTTGGGAACCCGCTGCCCAGCTCCACCCCCAAACATAGGTGCAGACTTTACTTAAACACTTGCTCCAATCTTTACAGGATCATCCTCTAACAGCGCTGTTGAAACACCGAAATGGCAAGCTCAGCAGTTCAAAACCACCAACCGCTTCCCCAGGAGAAAGACAGGGCTTTGTATTCCCATAAAGAGTCACAGTCGGAAACCCAGAGAGGCAGGGTCGCTCTGAAAGGGCTTCACCTTGCTGGCTGTGAATTTGGGTTTCTGTTTTCTAGGTATGGGGCGTGAGGCTCAGGGGCACTAAAAGGACTTGCCTAAGGGGTAGAGCCAAGTTGGAGAATTCATACTCAGGCTTCGATGGCTTTACCTCCTTTGCACACGGACCCCTTAATGCTAAGGAAAGCATTTTGAATCGAGTCAGCATTAGTTAACACTGGCACAAAGGATGTACACTAGACAAGGAACATAAAGGTTGACAGTTCAAATCCACCAGCAGCACCACAGAAGAAATGCCTAATGGTCCTGCTATCATGAATAAACCCATTGCAATCGAGTGGATTCACCTCTCAAAGTGACCCTAGCAGGCAAAGTAGAACTGCTCCTTAGAGTGACTCAGACTGTACATCTCTCAGAGAGCAGGCAGCCGCACATTCCTCCTGAAGGGGCGGCTGGTGGGTTTGAACCACCAACCTTGCCATTGGCAGCCTGATGCTTAGCCCACTGTGCCACCAGGGATTCTTTCCTTAAAGCTTGCAGCCTAGAGAACGCTCAGCAGTTCTACTCTGTAACACACGGGATATTTCCTACGTGGAAACCGACCTGGTACAGCAGGCTTGGTTTTCTGCGGTCTGATACTCACCAGGGCCCTGGTGTTCTCCACGGCCTCACACGAGCGTGAGAAGTGGGACTCTAACAAGGAAGACGAGAAGAATTGAGGCACTGGAACCGGGCTGTAGAATACTGAAAGTGAATATCGAAAGTACCATGCACTGCAAAAAGGACAAACCGATCCGTCTTGGTAAAAGTACAGCCAAAGTGCTCCTTAGAGGCAAGGACGGCGGGACTCCGTCTTACACTCTTTGGACATGTTGCCAGGAGAGACCAGTCCCCGGAGAACGACATCATGCTTGGTAGCGGGGCAGGTAAAACGTAAGAGGAAGGCTCTCAAGGGGACTTCCTCAAAGAGATGGATTGACACAGCGTCCCCTGCAGGGCTTGCAGCACGGGAACAATGGCTGAGGATGGAGCAGGACGGGCTTGTTTTGTTCTCCTGTGCAAACGGTCACTGTGGGTCGTCGCAACAGACTGCACTGCACCTAACAGCAACAGGCCACCCAAGGAGGTCTGGTGGCACAGTAGTTAAAGCACTGGCTTGGGAACCGAAAGACTGATGTTTCCGAATGTCAGGGACGGAACAGGGGCGTCCGCCCTGCCTGCTAAGGGAGTGAACAAAGGACCCTGTGAAACAAGGAATGGACAGATGACCCTGTGAGAACTGGCATGGCAAACACCTGCGCCTTGAAGCCCGGCCCCGTGGAAACCCTGACACACACTGGCCCAGAGCAGCAGCCCTGCCAAAACAGAACGCAATGACACATGAGACCCACAGAGAAACTGGGGACCTCCGTGGAATGTTGCCTGACCATCTGCGGAGCAGCAAGCCCCTCCCCTTCAAACGTGCATTGAAAAACCAGAAGTGTCCCCAGAAGCATTCCTCTTCTCACCTGGTGACGGGGACCCGCTTCATTTCTTTTGAGGTGACTCCATGCTTTAATAATGCCGTGGCTTAACTTTTTGCTGCTGTGTGCGTGTGCGTGTGTGTAGGGGTGTGTGTGTGTGTGTGTGTGTGTGTGTGTGTAGGCGCGAGTAAGGGCAGCTGGTCTCTAGACCCTCATAAACCACACGGAGCTTGCCAGTCCCCCTGTGAGCCGAACATCACACCAACCATCAGCTGCCCCATGGGAGCAGGAGGTGGCAGTGTGTCCATAGGATTTACAGCCATGGAAACTCTCTGGGGGAAAGTTCTGTGTCCTATAGGATTGCCGTGGGTCAGAGTCGATTCAACAGCGATAGGTTTGATTTTGATTTTTAAAATTTTTCTGTGCCAAGTAATATGTGAAGCAGCTGTCAGGGAGTGGCTCACACGGTCGGTGAAGTCGGTTCTACTGTGAGCCCCACTGAGCAGATGACCAAAGTTAGTAATACATACATTTAAGCCATTTCGATAGATCGGGGTAGGTTTTCGTTGAAATGATACATACATGAAAGAGGTGGCGCTGTGACCCAGCAGGTGGGTTTCAGAATCCACGCTCTTCAATGGAGTTTCGGTTTTATCTTCTGTGCCAACGTCCCACACATCCCCCAAGGAAAAAGTTGCTGATCAGACCCCTTAAAACAGGTTCCACTTTCTCTGTTGGTGTGGTGAGTCAGCCCACCCAGCTCTCAACAGCCCCATGGGCAACAGAGCAAGATGATGCCCCCCGTCCAGCGCCCTATCTGACCTTGGGATCCATAGGGTGGGGGTTGTGGGTGGATCTTCAGTGGTAAGTCACCAGGTCGTTCTTCCTATCCAGCATCCCAGCCACACATATGCCTCTGCAGACAGACATGCGGTGGCTGTGCATGTGGTAAATCGGCTGGGAATGGGATCTGGGATGTGGAAATCTAGAGTGAAAGGCGAGGATTCCAGAAGTTATCACTCTGCCATCCGCTTGACCCCTAGTGACCTACAGGGCTGAGTAGAAACCACCCTGCGGGCTTCTGAGACTGTAACTCTTCAGGAGAGTACAAAGTCTCGTCTTTCTTCTGTGACGCAGCTGGTAGTTTCAAACGACTGACCGTACAGTTAGCGCTGCCCAATGCATAACCCACTAGGCCACGAGGGCTCCTCCTGGAAGATACAGGGCTGCCCGTAACAATGTCTTAAAGAGACAGCTGGGCTATTGCATCCATACTGAGTACCTACTGCTTTGAGCGTAGCCAAGTCTGATTTATTTTTTGCTTTCTATACCTCCCCAAAGAGCTAATTTACTTAACTGAAACTAGGAATAAAGATCTCTTTTCTCTTTCTGAAAAGGCTCCTTGGTTTAAAAATCCATGATTAAATGGTGAAACTGCCTGTTGTCCTGCTTGGAGAGGAAAGAATTGTCTCCCGTGCAAGCCACTTAATACTGGGACTGGCACCGATGATGATGCTGGACTGGCGTGCTCTCACTCCCCAATTATGGAAGGAAAGGAAAGTTTTAATAGAGAGAGATACCTGGCTTCATAATAACTGGGAACCTGAAATAGTATTGTTCAGAATTTCAGACGCCTGTCACATAGCGAGTAGGATCAAATATAGCAATGCTTCTGGCTCGGTGTCCATAAATCCACCTCCTTTGTTATATGGTAGGAGCCCTTGTAGTGTAAAGGATAACACATTGGGCTGCTAACCACAAGGTCAGCAGTACGAAACCACTATTCACCCAATGGGAGAAAGACGAGGCTTTCTACTCTTATAAAAGTTAGTCTCAGAAACTGACAGGGGCAGTTCTAGCTTGTCCTATAGGCTCACTATGAGTCAGATGACAGTGGGGTTTTGGGGAGGGGGTGATTTTCTTGTTTTTGAGAGTGTGCAGCAAGAGGGGAAGGTCAACAGTTCAAACCCACCAGCCCCTCCGAGGCAGAAAGCTGACGCTGTTTGTGCCTATAATGATTTCCAGCCTCAGAAACCCTGTGGGACTTCTCTATTCTGACCTATGAGTCGGAACAGGCTCTAAGGCAGCGAGTGTATGCATTTGGAAACCCGCAGGGGCGGATTTATCAATTGGAAGAGAACCACTTGAACCCTTTTCTGTCTTTTTCTATTTATTTTGCTTTGCCATTGGAGTACATTTGACTTGCTGATTTGTGACAGTTGCTGGCAGCGGGGGTGGGCTGGGGTGGGGGGATTCGGAAGAGAAACCCTGCACAGGTGTCTTCGGGCTCTGTGAGAACGATTGATTGTCCGAGAGATCGCTAGCTAACGGGCCAGCCTTCGCTTGGCTTCCACTGTGTTGCGTGGTGCCGGGAGCCGGCTGGCTGAGTGAGCACCCTGGAAAGCCTTCTGCTAAGGATGGCTTGGTGGGTGAACTTGTGAGCAGGAGACACCTTATCAAAGCAAAGGGAATCTGATTCCGTTCAAGCCGACTCCGGTGAAAGGAGGCTTCACAAAGCAGGTTCCAAAGCGGGAGGAGTTAAAAGGGAATGCTGATGAGCATCTCCTATCTCCAAGGATCAAAAGGAAATGGATTAAACAGAACTTTGCAGCAAAAGACCACCGTGGGTGGAAAAACAAATCTGAGACCCAAAGGTTTGACACCATTTTACAAACACGCAAATCTTGTGTACCCAGAAAAAAGAGGGTAAAGGTGGTGTTCTTCTAAAATCAGGGTGGGGTGGTGGTGTTAGTTCCGGTTGACTAGAGAAACAAATTCAGAGACACTCATCTAAGAAGGCGCTTTATATAAAGAGTAATTGTATATTAAGAAAACATCACAGCCCAGTCCAGATCAAGTCCATAAGTCCAATATTAACCCATATGTCTGATACCAGGCTATAAATTCCTTTTCAGACTCATGCAACACATGCAATGATGCCGAATGCAGGAAGATCACAGACCAGTGGGTGGAAAGTCTTGGGAATCCAGTGGCGGTGGAAGCATCTCAGCACTGGCATAGGTCTCCACGTGACTCCTCCAGCTCCAGGGCTCTGGCTCTATCAGAATAGCTCCATGTGGCTTTTCAACAGGAATTTCTCACAGGAAGTCTATATCTGGTCTCCAGCAAGGTATTTATCTTCTTACCACCTCTAAATGAGGTCATCAAGCTGTGACCTGATTGAGAGCCTAAACTCCACCCCCTCACTCTTAATAGTCTCAAGTTGACACCAGATTATGTAACTACCACAAGGGGCTTCTGGGG